GTATGCGAGCGCTGCATGAGACCCAGAGTAACGCCGGCGACTCGCAATGCGGTCACGATGGTGGTTTTCCTCACTCTACACGAATCTTCTCCATGCATCTTCGCGCGCACCGTGCCAAGCATCTAGTCCGCTTTGGGCCGACGAGGCTACGGCGGAGAATAGGCACTCCCGCGGGCATGCTGCACTGCCAATCGCTCTTGCATGCACCCGGCGTTTGACAGCTTGACACGTCTATTGTTAGCCCTCCATCTGCCATGTCCGCTGTGTGAAGAAGCTGTGTGAGCCGGCCAGACTGGCCCCAGTACCCCGCAGGCAGAGGCCGGCCCACGATGTTGTCTCCGTCGGTCCACTTGCAGCACTTGCTCAGGCCCACACCCTCGTCCGATATGAAAGCTGCCTGACATCATATTGACATTCTCAACAAAACTTCGCGAAGCGGTCAAGAAGCGGAGCGCGTGGAGGCACGAGCAGTCAGTAATCGTGCGCTGCTATCCTTGCTTGCAGCAGAGACAGCGAGGCCCAAGCTGCTCGGTTCCAACGTCACAGCTATGGCTTAGTGGGGCGTGAACCATCCCACCACGGCCAGCTTTTCTTCCCCCATTGCCCTTCTCAAGTTTCTATCAGCTTCTCGACACACGTCGTGTCTTCGCGCCCTTCTCTTTTTCCCACACCCCTTCGTTTAGGTCCCCTAAATTCCCCTCGTTCTGTGACGCCCGCAGCGCAAGACCTTTGCGGAGCTCCTTCCTCTGACTATCTGGCAGTACAGCGACTCCAAGACACCAGGTAATACATGTTTCCACACTCATCTTTTGGTTGCGCCGCTCGCCTGCCACCTGACATACCTCTCTTACCTCTTATCATGCCTCCTATCATCTTTGCATCTACAACTTCCTAACATTTCCATGTATAGCAGCATAACGGAACCTGCCTAATCCCATCATGGCCCCTCCTGCAGAGGAGAAGCCTCAAAGGCCTCAATTCGAATCAAAAGCAAGCACACATCCCGCACTCAACCCCGAAATTACCAATGTGCCCGTCACACCCGGCGTGCATCTCTCTGGCAAGACCGCTTACTTCGACGAGTCCACTACCGAGAAGACGAATAATCTGCCCTTCGATCCCGAGACTGCCACCCCAGGCCCATCATGGAGCGCCAACTCCTACTTCTCCAACAAGCAAAGAGAGGACCAGGCTGGCGCGCAGACAGAGAAGGCCGCGGGCGCACAATCTGATGGAGAGGTCAAAAGCAAGATGGGCGACACTCCCAACCCAGATGCGAAGACTGAACTGGCAGATGTAGATCCGCGCGCTGCCCATCCTAATCTGAACCTCAGCGGCCGTGTTATCAGTGCGACGTTTGCCATACCCTATTCTATCGGTTACTCACAAGGTAACGACTGGGAACTGACCCCGCGACGCGGAACTTCAGCTCTGTTCGATTCCTTCTCCTACCTAGCCTCAAGTTCCTCTCCGTGGAACCACACACTTGTGGGCTGGACTGGCGAGATCTCCAACGCGAAGACGGCCTCTGTAGTAACCGCACAAGCACCCACGAACAAAGCTGCCGCACCCATTCCCGTCGACCCCAAGAAGCCGACACAAACTCCTCAAGCTCCAAATAGCTTCCGTATAGGCCCAGAGGATCGTGAACGATTAGACAAACAGCTCGAGCGTGATCACGGAGGCAGAATTGTGCCAGTCTGGCTCGTCGACGAGGTTGATGATGGGAAAGATGAATACATCCTGAAAAACCAGAGTCATTGGCGGACATACGCGGAAAACGAGCTCTACACTCTGTTCCACTACAAGCAAAACGAGCCGGCTGATGGGCGCGCTGCACGGAAGTCGTGGGCCGATTACTACCGCATGAACAAGCTTTTCGCAGACAGGATCCTCGAGATCTACAAGCCGGGCGACATCGTCATGGTGCACGACTTTTACTTGATGCTCTTGCCGAGCTTACTTCGACAACGCCTACCAAGTGTCTACATTGGCTTCTATTTGCACATCCCCTTCCCTAGTAGCGAGTTCTACCGCTGCTTGAGCCGGCGGAAAGAGATTCTGGAGGGCGTGTTAGGTGCCAACATGATCGGTTTCCAGTCATACAGCTACTCGCGACACTTCTCGTCCTGTTGTACTAGGATACTGGGATTCGATTCGTCTTCCACAGGAGTCGACGCCTATGGTGCTCATGTAGCGGTAGATGTGTTCCCCATTGGCATCAACGCAGTCTCGACGCAACGACAGGCTTTCGGCGACCCAGAGATCGATGAGAAACTCAAAGACATCCGTGAGATGTATGCTGGCAAGAAACTCATTGTCGGTCGTGACAGGCTAGATGCTGTCCGTGGAGTAGTTCAGAAGCTTCAGGCATTCCAGCTATTCCTCGAGAAATACCCTGAGTGGGTAGGCAAAGTAGTACTCATTCAGGTTACAAGTCCTAGCGGAGTGCATACGGACAGAAGCGATGGCGCACAGGAAAAGGTAGTCAACAAGATCTCGGACCTTGCGGCCAAGATTAACGGCACATACGGTACACTCGACTTCACTCCGGTCCGTCACTTCCCACAGTATCTTTCCCGAGAAGAGTACTTTGCTCTGCTCCGACTTGCAGACATTGGTCTTATCACCAGCGTGCGAGACGGTATGAACACCACCAGCATGGAATACATCATTTGCCAAAAGGATAACCACGGCCCGCTCATTCTCTCGGAATTCTCTGGTACATCAAGTTCCCTCAGCGCCGCAAGTCACATCAACCCCTGGGACATGGGCGGAGTTGCCGATGCGATCAACGATGCTCTGAAGCAGAGTGACGAACATCGCGCCAATGTTCATGCTCAACTTTACAAGCACGTCGTACAGAACAATGTTCAGGCTTGGTCGAACAACTACCTGAAGCGTTTGATGACGAATCTTTCATCCTTTGATCAAGCGTTCGCTACACCGGCATTGGATCGGGCAAAGCTACTCTTCCAATACCGTGAAGCCAAGAAGCGGCTTTTCATGTTCGACTATGATGGTACCCTGACGCCCATTGTCAAGGACCCACAAGCGGCTATCCCATCTGATCGAGTCATCCGTACTCTCAAGACTCTGGCCGCAGACCCTGCCAATGCTGTTTGGATTATCAGCGGCCGAGACCAGGCTTTCCTGGATGAATGGATGGGTCACATCCCCGAGCTCGGTCTGAGTGCCGAGCATGGCAGCTTTATGCGACATCCACGCAGTCAGGAATGGCACAATCTGACCGAAACTACCGATATGAGCTGGCAACAGGAAGTCATTGATGTGTTCCAACACTATACAGAGAGAACTCAAGGTGAGCTTTCTACGTTCTTCGCCAAGAACTTTAGCATTAACAGATGAACAGGTTCCTTTATTGAACGCAAGAAGATTGCTCTAACGTGGCACTACCGGAGAGCCGACCCCGAATACGGCGCATTCCAGGCGCGTGAGTGCCAGAAACACCTCGAGAGGACCGTTGCAAAGAAGCACGATGTCGAGGTTATGACAGGCAAAGCCAACCTTGAGGTTCGTCCGAAGTTTGTGAACAAGGGCGAGATTGCAAAGACACTTGTGCAGAACTACGGCGAAGGTAGCGGTAATGCGCCCGAGTTTGTTCTCTGTATGGGTGATGACTTTACAGACGAAGGTATGCATTGCACTTTGAGGTTTTCCGGCCATTCCGCTAATACGTATAGACATGTTCCGATCGCTGCGACAGTCCAAACTGCCAACGGATCACGTATTCTCGGTCACTGTTGGCGCCAGCTCGAAGCAAACGTTGGCGAGCTGGCATCTAGTAGAGCCTTCGGATGTCATTTCTGTGATCTCGTTGCTAAACGGATCAGCCGACGCAGGCAATGTTGGCGCGATTGCTGTTGTCGACGGAACGGTTCCTGAGTCTCGGGTGGTTGCATGAGGTCATAGGGCGAGGAGGCACTGACAAGCAATTTCAACTGTAATGGAGCACGGAGCATGGGGAGGCTATAGATCTACGAAATGCGGCATGGCGATCCCGGGGGTTTTCTAGCACTGGGTCTGGAAGAAGCAATCACATCCTATGTCATGATAGTCGTCCTCAAACTGCACCTGCGTGAAGGAACATTTCTGTGTTGCGATCGACGATGTCGATTGCTACCCGGTGGATAATTCTGCTGCATGGCGATTACCAATGCGCCCCTGGGACGAGCGTCTGCTGCCAAGGCGGTGGCGGTCGGCACGTCTGGGGCCTCGCCCAAGACCCCTGATTCCCACGTGAGAGCTGACTCGGGAGCCACGAAACCTTGGGATGCGAACAGTGGGAGCGTCGGGGATTTTGAGCGTTTCGGAGAGATTTCTGCAGTACGCGAGAACTTGTAAGACGCCCAGGACACCAAGTGACAGCTCGCCGCACCTCGCAACAGCAATGTCTACGTCGGCAAGACAGGCACAGCACACGAAAGCGGCCCACGACTCACGATTCCGCAACACGGGCACGATGGCTTCTCTAGGCCTGGTATGTTTTGGCTTTCGGCTTTACTAGCCCACATTTATGCAACTTGGGGTTCGAGAACTGGCAGTGCATGAAACCTGGAACGCCTAGCAGTCGTCCCGCCCCAACAGCCTATCCGAGGGATGTTCCTCCTTCCTCTTGGAACTGCGTACCGTTGTCGTTGATCCGTCTTTTACCAGCCATTCCGTTCCTTTTTGACCACTCGTTATCCCTCCGCCCTGCGTCGACACTCGTTTACCAGCTATACTCCCACCCACTTATTTTGAGCGACAATCTTATATTAGTGAAGCGCATCGCTGAATAACACAAATCAACACCTGGTCTGACCTCAATCCGATACTGCATCTGCAACAGCGCAACAGGGAACTGGCTGGCGAGCACATTGCGACATTACAACCGTGCCATATCTACAATACGCCTCTCCTTGGTATTCCTTCTTCGACAAACACCATATCTCTCGGCGCGCGGATAACAAGGCACAACAAATTCCACACAATACACAATGGGTCTCATGGAGAAGCTGCAAGCTCGTATGTCTTACCTCGCTTCGCCCTATCTCCTTCCGACCCTAATCCTTTACGCCTTGGGACACTTTACTAACAGCCCACCTTAGGCCTCGAGCTGTACCGCCTCGAACAGCGTTACACACGCCGTGAGAAACGCACTACTTTTATCAGCGAAGCCCAATACGTTGACGGCGAATATGTCTATGCGTCATCGCCTTCTTCAGCAAACTCATCCACCACCACAAGTAGCAAGCGCTTCAGCAAGATGCCTGCTATACGGATAAAGGAGCTTGGCCGTATGGGCACAGGACGATCGTAAATATTTTCTCGGATTCAGCTGCTCATTGCGCTCCTACATGGTCGACGATGATAGACGAATGTTTGCCCGTCCGGTCAGGCCGACAGAAACAACAGCATCACAGTCCGATTGAGGAAGAACGTGCGACGAAACAAACCTCACACAGTACTGGAGCACACCATGTACTCATGCCGTGAAGGAGTCGCACATGAATACATACGCCATGTGCAGAGACAGGAGACGACACGCCTCGCAACACCAGCGGGTGGAAGATGCAATAACGCAACGAAATTAACGCCAAAACAACTATCGACGAAGGACGGGAAGGCTAACAAAAAGTTCTTTGTACCACTTCATGTCGATATCTTCATTCTTTACAACACCCTTTTCCTTTTCTCCATCTACCTTTTTCAGTCATGTTGCGCTATTAGAATACCCCCTTGTTCAGTTACCACTGAAACGCATCAATACAAGTTTGTAGGCAAATCAGAACCCTGTATGCAATTTGAAGTGGAAGCATTTTTGCAATCGAGTCTCTTTCATTGCATGACAAAATAAAGTGCATACTCGACCCTGTCCTTATAAAGACTTGTCCAATCTTGCTTAGCTTCTTGGTTTTTCCTCTCTAGTAGTCAGTACCGCGGACTTTGTAAGGCTGATAGGCAGAGTACCAGACGGCGGTAGAACGGTTGCCAAGAGTAACGTGCAGATGCGTAGGGCGTGGGAACCAGAATGCGTCCGAGGGGTAAATGCAAATATGGGCGCAAGGCGTGTGGGCGTAAGGCGCGTGCAGATTGGATGCGACTCTGTAGATAGGCAAGGCGTGCGTGCACTTGCTTCTGATGTACGCAGACTGTATCTGTTGATACAAGAGTATCCTGAGAGTAAGCCGACAGACTGTCATCAAGCATGATCCATCCATTTTTTCCTCGTCTACTTCCGCTTGATATTGTACTTACACTAGCTGCTGGAAAGATGTTCAAGAAGTCGAACAAGAATACGCCTGTGACGACGATCGTCGAACCGCACGACCAACATTTGCCCGTTAGGTCGGGCTCTCAAGAGAAAAGTATTGAACATCCCAAAGACAGCATGATCGAAGTAACATCGAGTCTACCACCCATGGATAGAGGAAAAGATGCTTGGCTTTTTCTAGCCGCAGCCTTCACTGTCGAAGTCCTAACAGTTGGTGAGCCCATCCCAGCACACAGCACCTTTTCATACTAATCCCGCAAAATACAAGGCTTCTCTTTTTCCTACGGCCGTTTCCAAGAACACTACAGCACTACGCCTCCCTTCTCGGGCTCTGATAATATCGCAGTCATCGGCGTTTTGAATCAAGGCCTCATCCTCATCAGCATGCTTCCCATCGTTCAACTCGCTCGCCGGAAACCGCATTGGGCACGCTGGATGGCAACAGCAGGTCTCCTCGGGTGTGTCGTCTCAAACATAGCAAGCTCCTTTTGCACCAGTATAACTCAGCTCATCGGCACCCAAGGCATACTCCTCGGCATCAGCGGAAGCGTCGCTTTCTGTCCTCTTCTCATCTTTGCAGACCAGTGGTTTGACAAGCGCAAGGGCCTGGCGTTTGGTATCATAGGCAGTGGAAGCGGATTCGGAGGTCTCCTCCTCCCTCTCCTTATCAACGCCTTGCTTACCAGAGTGGGATTCCAGACTACCATGCGTATCCTGGCTGGTATGATCTTCGGTCTTGGGATGCCACTGGCTTACTTTGTGAGACCCAGACTACCGCCAGCTGCCACGGATACAAAGAAGCCATTCTGGAACTGGAGGCTTCTCCGCTCACAATCTTTTCTCCTTCATCAAATTGCTAATCTCGTTCAGGGTGCTGGCTACTATCTGCCTGGCATTTACCTACCTACCTTCACCCGCCACGTCTTTGGCGCTTCGGATTGGTTATCAACTCTCTCGCTTATGCTCTTGAATTTGTCTACTATGATAGGGCTCGTAATAATGGGCTATATGACCGATCGGTTAAACTCCCGGAAATGCATTGCCATCTCCGCTGTAGGTGCTACTCTCTCTGTCTTCCTTTTTTGGGGCTTGGCCGTACATGTTGCTGTCCTTTTCGTCTTCTGCATACTGTTCGGATTGTTCGGGGGTGGCTTTCCCGCGGCTTGGCCGGCTGTTATGAGAGAGACAGCTGAGAAGGCGGAGGCAAGGGGTCTCGGTCATGTAGATACTATGCTGATATTCTCTCTGTTTTGTGTTAGTAGAGGGATTGGAAACATCGTCTCCGGTCCTCTGAGCGAGGCGCTTGTTGATCAGATGCCTTGGGAAGGGGATGCAATTGGCGCTTACGGAAGCGGATATGGTGGACTTGTCGTCTTCTGTGGAATAAGCTCTCTCGTAAGTGGCATGAATGCGTTATGGTATCATCGTTTATAAGAGTTGGAGCATTGCAATGTACAGGGAAGTTATTTGTACTGTAACCAAATCCATTTCCGTAACACAGAAGAGAACATAGATGTTCTCACATATAGAACTATGTCACCTTCATGTGCTACGCGTACGAATGGCCGATGACAGACTAAGAGACTACAGCTTAGCAACCATGTATCTCTTCATAGCCGTCTGAGGCACTCGGCTACTTCCCAGTATTACAAACTATATCGTTTGCTCCCATTAGCAAGATTCAAAAAGGAAACATTGTGCGAAGTGTTCCGCATCTAGTTAGTCATTGGATCGCTAGCATTGTGAGCATGAAGGCCTTGCAGCATGGGGGTCACGTAAGCAGGCGAACCGCACTCACATGGCTCCCACATCACCGATCAATCAATGCAGAGAATGGATAAAAAGAAAGGACAGTGGAGTTACTACGATTGGTGGTGTGGAACTAATTGCGGATCCGCGGGCCAGATATGACCTGCATTGCATACACATGCACGCTAGTGGAAGAGGGTTGTGACCATTGGTACTCACGCGGTGACCTTCGTACTCAGTGGATGAGAGAAGGTTTCTGAATATGGAATGAATGGTATTAATGAAGTACATTGCGCTAAGTGATAAGAACATTCGCGTAGGTTTGCTATTGAGTACGTGGGTGGCTTCTTTGGGGGTATCATCCGATCTATGGGTACTTTGCTCAAGTGAATGGGTTTGCCCCCTGATGTCTTTCCTTCTAAATGGTGACTCCGAATGCTCATGAGAAACGATGAAAGTAAAATGCAACCCAAAGAGTGGGCAACGCTAAAGAACGAAGGATTGTCCACCTCAGTATAACGCCCGGAAAATCAAACCCGTCTATCAGTATTTTCAGATGTCGTTAAAGTCGTTATGTTTCGATTTGGCGATGCGCCTCTAGTAGGGATAGGCGAGTGTGACGTGGACTCCTCCACTAAACGGTGTCGTAGTCGCTGAGAATGTCCTCTGGGTCCTCTGGTGGAAGCATGTCGATGGTATCGCTTGTGCGTGGGCCAATGTACTTCTTCCTTGCACCGGCGTACCACCAGACCGTGCTGAACAAGCCAATGAAGGCTGCCACGCAGATAGCGTAATTCATGTTGTCGGCTCTGACTGGCTTCACAGTTGGGAAGAACAGCACAACACTAATGAAGATGACCCATGTCACTGCGATCGCGTTGACCGGCTTGCTCCATCTACCCATTGTGTATGGTCCAGGATGGAAGATGACGGTGTTTTCATACCATCGGTGTGCGATGATGACTGCGATGTAACTGATGTCCAGAGCAGGTGCTGTGATGTTGAAAATAGCCGTGATGGTGAGGGTGCTTCCGATTCCGATTAAGTCAAGACAGCTGCAGAAGATGACAACCAGCCATACTGCATTGACCGGGGTGCCTGTGTACGAATTGACCTTACTCCAGAAACTATGCATAGTCAGCTCCGAGATAATAGCGCCGATTGGGGGCGGTCACTTACCCCGAGAATGGGAAGGCTGCATCGCGGGAAAAGGCCCAAGCCATTCTCGCGTTGGCCAACATGGCAGAACAGCCGGTGAAGAATTGGACCAACATGACGAAGAACCACATGATGGTTCCACCTGTTCTGCCACCGGCATTAAAGAAGATCTGGGCGACGGGAAGACCAGTCGGTGTCGCCATAATCTCGTCGTAGTCTGACATGCAGAAGCAAAAGGTGACTGTTAGCATCCATCCTACGACACCGGACACGAGGATCGCCGCTCGGATCGCTACAGGGCCACGAATAGCGGCATCGTGCGTCTCTTCCGACATGCTGTGTGACACTGATTAGATTGGCTGATACGCAGGATTGTAGGGCTGACCTACTGTGTTGTGCCGTCGTAGTCTGTCATTGTCCATGCAACAGAGAGGAAACTGTGTAAGGTTAGTGACGTGTCTGCACACATGCATTGGTTAGGCATACCCGAGAAGGAAGGAAAATCCTTTGCTTCCCCAACCCGAGCCGTCCATTACTGTCGTAAACACCCATTGCGGGCTTTGTTTGTTCGGTGTGAGGATGAGAAGAGCGATGCAGATGCAGATTGATGCAATGACTACTTATTGTCAGACTGTGCCGAGACTAGCTTTCCAGTCCACTTACTGTTGATAGGCGCAAACCATAAAATGATGCGATGGAGCCAGTTCGTGGGGAACGAGCAGATTGTGCCAAACATGCACAATACGAAGATGGCGAGAAGGACGGTCTGATATGCTTGCCTGTATTGATCGGTAAGCTGCTGCAGGTCGTACAAGCGGGGTATGTCTCACGGCTCAAAGGCAGCTTCCCCATTGTCTAGGGTATGCATAACGGCGGTCGCCAGTATCATCTGAGAGATTGTGTATGCCAGACTTGCCACGCCAGCTGCTTGACCAAGGAAATTGCACCACCCAATGATCCACGCCCAGGCTGCGACGTGCTCAGGTGGTACAACATGTTTTGTGACATAGTACATTCCTCCAGCGGTTGGGTATGCGGATACCAATTCGGCAACTTGACGAAAACTTAGCTAAGGTTCCTTCGGGGCTCTGTCCAACATACCTGAACTGGCTATGCAGTATGCCATGACACTGCCAATG